GGGGGGGGTTCGTAAGACTGCAAATCGTCGAGATATAGGTAATAAAAGCAGATTTTTTTTCCTAAAGAAATAATCAATTGTGTCTGATTTCTGGCGAAAAAACAACAACTCAAAAGATTACGCAAAAAGGGCGTGGGCGGAATGAGGTCATAATAAACAGGGCGAGCTAAACTCGCACCTACTAAGACCATTAAAAGGGTCAACTAAACAACAGGGTAAGCATTTCCGCCGCTACTGTTAGAACAATATGCACGTATAATGGAACAATCGATACAGAAACAAAATCGCCTTCCTCAGCTCAGACTTAACCCTTTAGGACATGGCGGACACACATGCCAGACCAGTAGCACACGAACGACAATGTTGCAACACGTTGCGGAACTCATTATTAACAAATCAGAAATTGATAGCATACATGTTGTCGCCGGCTTTTTTCCCCCTTTTAATTAGAATGAACAAAATTAACAGAATGAAAAAAAGATGTCGTATTAAAAACGAAGTTACATTTATCTTTTAAAGTGTTCCAAAACAGCGAGTTTGTATACCCTGCTTTACTTTACTTTTCCGATCCAGCGGCCATCTGAGTTCTAGCCCTTTGGCCTGAATATATTAAGTATGTATACCCAGAATGCTCGTTCTCAATGAGTTAATTCTTTGGCCACTGCCGAGTAGGAACCCACCCATAATCTGCTCCGTCGGTGCCACCATCGTGTTTTCGCGCAAACGTACCCCGGCGGGTCCTACCCACGCACAGGGGTGGAGCTACTCAACACTCATGCTTAAGTGAGTCGGTCAGCTTGAGGGGAGTATAAGAGCTGGACTGGACATTCAGCGGATTCCACTCGGCCACTGCCTGGCCCAGAGAGAGAAAGACTGACCGCCGGTTTTCTTGAAGGAGACCTAGGGGTCGTATTGGGGGAAACAGGCACATTTCCTTTTCCGGGGTTTTCGAGCAATTTCCATTTTTCGACAAGAACCTGAAAGATCAAGCAGAGGAAGTTGCGGACCCAAAAGAGTCAAGTTTTTTAAGAGGTAGGGTTGACTACTTTGTTACTTTTTTCCCCCCTTTAAATTGGTTGGAACCCCCCCCCCCCCCACCCCACCTCAACCCCACGCACATACACTGCAGACGTATCTTCAGTGCATACATAATATATCACATATTTTGTGTATCATTGTATCATAGTCATACTACTGCTTTCACACTCCTTGCAGACACATTGTTTTCTATTACTTTATTAACTGATATCGACAGTACTTAATCGAAGGAACATTTGACGGCGAATAGAAATGTGTCTTTTGGAGTGTTATGAGGTCCGTTTTACGTCAGACAGAAAGATGTATGTGTGTGTGTGTGTGTGTGTGTGTGTGTGTGTGTGTGTGTGTGTGTGTGTATGTGTGTGAATAAAAGTGAAAAGAAATAATATGGTGGGCGCTTATCGAAGTATAACTATGATATTGCTAAATTGGAATGAGCACCAGACGAAAGAAATAAAAAACAATACAACCAAGCACCTGTAAAATAGACTCAAGCTTTAAAAAAAACCCCCACGAAAATTTATTAAAATGAGAGATTAATGAGTACAAAACAAGTTATCAAATTCCCCCTCCCCGTCGAAAAAAAACCCCTATCTTTTTTTTTTAAAGTAAAGAAAGATAAAAGAAAAATGAACTCCAGAGGGCATTTTCTTTTTTCGGTGAAGTAGCAATTCTGTTACATTTTGCTCTCACGGGCGAGAAGAGGTGATTCATTTTGGACATTTATAACTATAAGACGACATTTCAGTCAAGTGGAAACGTGGGGTGTTGTTTTATAACTACGATTAGCGTGTTTTGAAACTTGCACGTCTTACATTACTCTGTTTTCCTCTTCTTTTTCTTTCTCTTCTTG